AGAATGTTTCCAAAGCTGCCAGTGAAGGTGGTTCATGCGATTCTCATGCTCCTCAGTCTGTTGTTTGCAGTTGTCGGCCTAAAAGCTGCTTTTGATTCGCACAATTTGCGTGGCATTCCCAACCTATACAGCATCCATAGCTGGATCGGCATAATCGTCACGGTCCTCTTCGGATTACAGGTATGCCTTAATGGATGTTTGTTAACTGTCTCATATTGCTCCGCAAAAGACTCCTTGCCTAACGAGTTCCTACTTATTACCCTTCTTATACGCATCTTGATTTACAACCTACTGGAACTACGGTAGTTATTTTTTTATATGACAACTGCTCCAGACCTAATAGCTAATATTGATATGGTCACCAAATTATATTAAGGTTTCGCAGATTGCAAAACCTACGGAAAGAGCCGGGCATTCATGTACATTAACGTAATAAAGCTAAGATACTCACCCGTTAATACCAGCTGTACTTACTTTTACTTGATCCGATTAGCTGCTGTTGTTGAATGAATCGGCTTCACATATGTCACGGATAGCGGCGGCCCATTGACAGTCATCGGAAGCGAGCTTCTCGCAAATGTAAACCCCGTGTTTGTTCCAGTGTCGCCAGCCGTAAACAGTCACGAGGCCCATGCGGTCGACGTCCGACGTGGCAGGAATACCAGTTTGGAGACCATGGGGCCGCGAAGTAACTGATGCCAATGACATTTAAATGTTTTACTGGTAGGCTGGAATAGTAATGTTTTTCAGATTTCCTGTAATCAGCCTCCAGTTGCAGGAAATGAAGACTGAGTATTTGAATCCTGGGTTGGTTTCTCTCTGGGCTGGGATATAGTCGACTGGTGATGGCAACTAATCCAACAGATACCTTTCCGATTTTCCTTATCCATATCTGTTCATTGGTAACGCGGTCACCCACGAGGGTTTCGGACCAAAGATTGGAAGCTTGATAAAACAAGTATCTCCTCCATCCTGAAAGTAGACCAAATAGGCGAACGCAAATGATGTCAGTGCAAAGTTGCATATCTGCTGTTGTATTGAGTTTGACGCGTTTTCAAAAGGTGTCCCAAAATTAAGTTATCCTGCCTAAATTATCAAACCCCTACTGTCGCTTTTGAGAGTCGAAGGACTGTATTGTGTAAGAAGGAAGGTCTTTGGAGGCATATATTGTTGTAGCGGTGACTTCAGTGGT